TCTATGAGAGCCAGCACAGTTTCCTACCTTTGTGTACTCTGAGAACTAAATTTCCACTCATTCTGTCTCTTCTTTTGAAACCTTATTTAGCCTTCATTTAGATAAGTGAACGTCTGTCATGGTCAGGCGAACCAGGGAGACCTTGTCCCTGCCTTCATACAGCTTGAAGTCTAGTTGCAGAAATAGCTGTAACACCAGGAAAAAAAATGGCTGGATAATTAGAAGTCAGTAACTTCACAGAAACACATTGCCAAGGCACATCCTCCAGTCCGAGAAGGCCCTGGAACAAAGGGCTTCTCAGTCCGCATCTGAAGGGCAAAGTGGAGCTGGGCAAGTTGGGGGAACGGGGGGGGGACACAGTTATTTAAGGCAGAGGGAATAGTATGCAAGCACCAGTAACCACATGACCCTGTAAGGCAGAGAGGCTAAGAACTCAGCCTCTGCAGAAAGGTGAGCTGAATTCAAATTCTAGTTCTGCCTCATTTTAGCAAATCATTTAAGTTTGAGCAAGTCAGTTAAGGCCTCTGTGTCTCAAAGTGGAGTTAATAGTAGCTACCTCCTAGAGTTGCTATGGAAATTAAATAAGGCATATATGTAAATAACAGTGACTGCCACAATGTCAATCTTAGTTGTTATCATCAAAAATATACCAGTCAGCTGTGAGCATGAAGAACAGTACTCTGGGCTACTTTTAACATTTTAAACCACATAAATATAAACACTTCCCTTTAGATGCCATCTACTTCTTTAGGAAAAGCAGCTTAAACAATTAATCTTTATGTTTAACACGTTTGTCAGTTTTCTATTTGAGTATTTAAAAATTCAAATGAGATGCTCATACAAAATTATATGAAATAAAACTTAATTTCAAAATCTTTGGGCCTTATGTCCCATCTAGACTAAGATCTGCCGGCCTGAGTGAAGTTTCTAGGATTATTTATTTGTAGATAAGCTTTAGAATCAGAACATAGTTAGAAATCAGACTGCCTAACTAAAATTCAGTGGCTGTAAATCCAAAGGAATTTGAATAAACCATTTATCAAATAATCGAATTATAGAAAATTAAAGCCAGAAATTTTTAAGCTTAAATATGGACATTGGGAGGACCCAAGGACCAGTTGTGGGTTCGGCACTAAACGTAAAACCATTCAATACCCAGCAGCCTTCTTGTTGCCTCCATCTGTAGATGTAAATGCTAAATCACTGTTCAGAAATCTCAGAGATTATACATTTTACAACAGAATACAGACTGCAAGTCAAGATATAATGCCAAAGGTCAATTAATTGCATGCAGAAAACATTTCTGTCACCCGCCACTAATACTACAGAGCATTAAAATCTTTGAGAAGCTGACGGTGTCAGACTTCCCAAGAACACTTCCAGTTCAATGATTCACCAGAAGTACTCACAGGACCCGGCATATAGTTGTATTCATGGCTATGATTTGTTACAGCAAAAGGATACACGGTAAAGTCAGCCAAGGAAAAGGGCACATGGAGCAAACTCCGGAGGCGACCAGTAGCGAGCTTTCAAGGGTCCTTTCTCAGTGGCGTCCCATAGGTCAGACTCAGTTCCCCAACAATGAGTGTAACAACACCTGTGAGATGTTATCTACCAGGGAAGCTTATTAGTGACTCAGCGCCTGGGTTTGACTGGGGTTGCTCACACAGACACCTGTGGCAGGGCATGTACCCAAATTCCTCCCTGAATGCAAGCAGGTAGTCAACACAAACCATTATTGTTTGCGCAGACCGTTCAGGCACAGTGACATTATGATGGAAACCCTCCCCAAATCTCACTTCCCAGAGGCCAGCCAGGGGCCGGCCCTACAAACAGGCCTGTGTAAGGACAGCCGTCTCAGGCCTGCTGTCGCGACTCATTCTTAAAAACTGCTCTATTTCAAGTAGCTACATAATATAGCACCAAACTATAGGAGAAAGGACTTACTCTTAGCAGGTCACTTAGGTAAATCACGAGCCTGAGAAGCATTTTTATCCTGTGTGTTTTCAGTATTTAAAACATAGCATTTTTTAATGTGAACAAGGATTATTTTAAATTACATAACAGAAGATTTAAGATGGCCTTTAATAGTCCACTTATATAATAAAAAGAGCTGAATTCTAGTCCCGTTTAGCTTTTTGAGCACTTTATTTCTTTGAAAAAAATACACTGCAAATTCTGAGCAAATAACATTCCTCTACTGAAACCACTCTGAGACACCATTTAGTCCACCAGATTAGCAAAAAATCCAGGCTCTGGTAGCAGTTAATGTCATACGTTCCTAGCAGCGGAAAGAACAAGAAAAACCCTCTCTGGGAGGCAATTTGACAACATCTATATAAATTATAAACACACCTTATGATCAGCAACCCTACTTTGCCAGTTCATACAGATATCATGGCATATATGCAGAATAACCTATGTACAAAGTTATTTTCTACAGCATTGCTTAAGAGCACAGGATTGGCCACAACTCAAATGTCTATCAACAGGTCACTATTTAAATTGTGGTACATCCATACAATGGACTACTCTGTAACTGTTGAGGGGGGAAAAAAAAAGAGTAAGGAAGCTCTCTTGGTACCAATGTGTTAAAACCTCCTACATACACTAGGAGAAAAACATAAATGGCAGAGAAGTATAGTCTGTTATCTTTTACTTTATGAAGTAGGCAAATATGAATTCATATTCATATCTGCTTGTCTGTGCACAGCGAATCTGGAGGGATGCATTAGACTCTGACAATGAGGCTAGGAGGGGATGTTAGAGGCAGATTTTGGGCAGAACCTGTAAACCTGAAAAAAATATATTATAATGGTATACTTGCAAAGTTAACTCTTCTTTCTTTTCTAAGTCCCTGTTACATCAACCTGGCACCTTTTTGTTTGTTCTAATAAGCTTCTATATTTTTGCCATGATTAAACTAGAGCATGAGATTATTTTCCAAATCAGGTTCCAATAACATTCTTTTCATCTTGGTGTCTGGCTCCCATCCTCGAGGGGGTTTCCCCAAGACCCCTGAGAGTTAGCCAAGTTCCGTGCACCTCCCTACTCCCCATTTGTTTGCTGAGGACATATGGGACTTTTTTAAGAGCTCCAAGAAAGCAAGGATTTGGTTTTGCTCCCTGTCTTCTTCACAAGACTGAAAAAGTGTTCAACACACAGAAATCATTCAGTAAGTGTTGAATAAATGAATTCTTTTCTTTACCTGGCTTCAATGGGAGAGACCACCATGCAAAGGGAGAGATATTGTTGGGGTGAAACATTTAGAAATAGTTGACATTCCTAGTATTGTAACACAGGGGTCTGGCCAGATTGCTGAGGAGCAGGGAACCCCCATCCGGCATAAGGGGCTGCACTTCCCCAGAGGAGGGAAGGGTTGCAGGACACCCCAAGGCATCGGACTGAAGCAGCAGCTGGTAAAAGAGCCTGCCTTCCCCTGAAAGGGAGGGACCCCTGAGAGGGGCTGGGAAGTGCAGAAGGCAGCCCAAGAATGAAACCAGAGCTGAGGCTTGCTAGGCTTCCATATCCCTGGGGAAAAATAACCAACTAACACAGCTCACGACACAGTTTGCACAGAACCTGCGCAGGGGTGAAAAGGTCACAACACACATGGAAGAAGGCGACACCCTGCCAGGGGCAGAGATGCTGTGCCCCTGCGTGGCTAGAAAACCCTCCTACCTGCTTCCCGATCATGGCGGCGGCGAGAGGAGGGGCAAGGACAAAAGAGTGGGCTGATGTGCATGGTGGTCATTAGCCCAATCTGGCTGACAAACTGGACACTCCCACAGGGTGTAGGATTTGGGGGTGAAAGATTTAAAATGGAGCAGGTATGGAAGCTTGCTTTCTTTCCTTCCTCCTCGCTAGCCCAGTCGAGGGGCGGGAGTTGGGGGCCAGAGTGTTCCTGGGCCAGGAGGCTCTGGAGACCACATGGCCAGGCTCTAAGCCCCACACCCCACCCTGCGTAAAAAGCAGTGGCAGCGCCGGCGCTGCGCACTGTGTCACCGACCGCCAGGTGCACAGACTTAAGAGAGATGCCTGAAGCCAGACTGTGACCAGGAACCAGCCAAACCGCCTGGATAATCACGCTGCAGCCGCCTGTGTAACCCAAAGGACGGTGTTTTTAAATGGGAGAAGGAATTCCAGGCACATCCTTGTACGGAGCTGGCAAGCGGTACAGAGATTATTTGCCTTTGGGTGTTTTAAAGGGAATGAGCTTTGAGGCAGAAGACTGTTATTCTCTCAAATGGTATAGTCTTTAAATAAACAACCATTTCCTTTTTCACCGAACCTCTGCCTCTGGAATTTATGGCCAGCAGGCAGCAGAGCCCTATGTGGCTGTACAGAAACTGTATCAGCCCGATATAGGCATTAGAATCCCAGGAACATTCCTAGAATTATTTTGAATTTCACAGAAAACAAATAAGCCTACGGAATGCTGTGCTGAACACTGACTCAAACATTGAAATTAAATTCAAATTAGTATAGACAGTGAACTGACTTACACAATGTCAATCACAAAAGAGAAAATCTCCTTCCTCAATGGGTACAGAACTGGTATAACTACCACACTGCTTTAACCTTGGTTTAAATAACTATAAAGCAGAATAACCTTGCTAATAATAATTGTAGTAACATTGTTGAATAGGTGCATAGCCGACTGATGTTTCTTGGAAGATTTTTAGTGCCACAAACTTTTCTTAGTGCATGGTTGACACATTTACTGAGTGCTGTCTCTTAGAGGTAATGGAATGAGGTTAAATGTTTTGATGTTACCACTATTTCTCTTGCTGGCAATTAAGACAACAATTCAATGAATGAAGAAGCATCTATTCACCTGAAAAAGCTTGAAATCTAACCCTCTTCTGATTTTAAAATAGAAATTCTGTTAAGATATTTATGAAATGAATGTCTTAACTGGAAAGAGAAGCTAGCAGAGAAGTTGCAGAACAACTGGGAGGCAATCAACCTTCTGCTATAAGCACAAGGAAATACCAGACCTACTGTGTGCAGGTGTTGCCCAGGGAATCCCACACTGGTCCTCGCAGCAGTCAACAGTCCGAGTCTCACAGCCAATCCTTCTGCAAAGAGCAGTATGGAGCAGAGGACAACAGCTGTAACAGGCAGAAAAAATGAGAGGTTAAATAAGAGTGATGCTTTCTTGTTATGTTTTGTTGGTTTCGTGGGGATAGAGGTGAAAGCAAGCGCTATCTGATATTGTCCTCAGGAAAACACTGTCTCTCACAGGTACCAGCATCTCAGGAACAGGAAAGCAACTGGACCATTCATTCTATGGACAGTTTCTTAATACATGGCAGACCCTGTTCAGAGGGGGAGCAGATTCCCTTCCCTCCTGATACTCACGTTCTCACATGGGAGCAAACTAATAGATTAACAAAAAATTGTGATAAATGTCACCTAGAGAAGTGAGTCAAAATCAGAAGAAGGCTGATGTGGCAGATTTCAAACAAACAGTCCAGGAGTCTCTCGGAGGAAATGCTATTTTAGTTAAGACAATAACTGATATGTGGGTGAAAGTAAATATATACTGCGACAGTCCAGTTCATAGAACCAAAATGTAAATATCCTGAGAGTACAGCCTGAGATCAGCTACCAAACTGCAGTGACACGCACACACAGTAGTTGATCTATGTATCTTTTAACCTCCTAACAACCTGTTTAACAATCACAGGATACACACACACACACACACACACACACACACACACACACCCCAATCTACAACCAGAAACTGATTTTCATTTGAAATGCCACTTTCACCAAAAATACTCAACTGTTGGAAGAGATTTAAGAATGAAAGTGTCACTCCTAGGTATACAGATCCAAGAAAAACGAAAACATTAGTTCACACAAAACTTAGACGAAAATGTTCACTGCAGCATTATTCTTAATAGCCAAAAAGTGGAAACAATCCAAATGCGCATCAACTAATGAATGGATACACCAAATGTCATTCTATCTATAAATGAAAAATATTTGGCAATAAAAAGGAGTGAAGTGGTGATACATGTTTCAACATAAACGAACCCTGACAACATTATGCTAAATGAAGGAAGCCAGTTTCAAAAGAGCACAAATTGTATGATTCTGTTTATGTGACCTGTGCAGACAGGCAAATCCATAGAGTCGAAAAGCAGACTAGTGGTTAACAGGGACTGGGGGGGTAGAGGCAAATAGTGGCTGCTCATGGGTTTCTTTTTGGGGGTGATGTAAATGTTCTAAAATTTGATAGTGGTGATGGTTACACAACTCTGTGAACACACTAAAAACCAATGAATTGCCCCCTTTACAGGGTGATTTTTATGGTGGGTGATTATATTTCAATAAAGCTGTGATAAAAATAAAAGACCAAACGCACATCTGAAATGCAATATAGAAATAAAATAAACTTCTACTGGTCGAAAGTGCCATGTTCCAGTAAGGCCCACAATAAGAGGTGAGCAGCTTAGTTCTCTGCTTCGCTCTCAGTGGGGCGCGCAACACCCTTTGGAAAGACCACCCGACCCGACCCTCGGAGGCTGTTTCCTTTTTTCACTGGGAACCTTCCTCCGGCTACTACCCTCTCTGTTGACTTTACTCACATGCCCACTACCCTGACCCTGCTGCCAGCCACCACCCTCTTTCCCTGGATTACAGTAACCTCTTCATTAACCGCCCTCCCCCGCCCCCTGCCAATTTTCCACATCAGTCTTTCTAAAATGTTACTCTCCTACTTTAAACACTTGAGACATTTCTACAGCACTGAGGTTCTATTAGGAAAAAGTAATATAGATTCATATTCAGTCAGGGAGGAAATGAACCGAAGGGGTCACGTGCCTCTTACTAGTGAAGATGCTTAGGGGCGCAGGCGGCGCAGTGACTGCTGCAGTGTTAACGCCCACCCGTGATCTCACTGGGCTTAGCTCTGGACCTGCCAACGTGAGTGACTCTATCATAAGGATCAATTTAATTACCTATTTATAAAGGCGAGTGAAATGAGCTTAGAGCAGCAATTTTCAACTAGTATGCCGCAAGAATTTTTAAAACACTTGCTACCTGACCATGTAGTCAGGGGCACGGACCTCTTTCCTTTGATTGTCAAAATTTTTTTGAAAAATTGCCAATAGCCATCTGGTGTGAATGAATCAAAATTATAGTTTTTTTTTCTCAGATAGGCAAAAAATATATTTTTTTGGTGTGCCGCAGAATGTTAGTTTACGTATGACGTGAGATGAAAAGAGTGAAAATTGCTGGCTTAGAGAAATACCTGATTGAGCGAGAGCTAGACTAACAGAGATTTGTCAAGGAGACACATCCCAAGGGTCCGATGCTTTTCATGTACCTACACAGAGCCACATATAGAAACAAGCTAAGAGTGTCAAACTGGGAGAAACTGAAAGTCAAAGTAGCTCATCAGACAGCAACATTTTATTTCTTAGGTAGGAAGCACAAGTCAAATGAAAGAAAAGCAGATAGTTGCTCTTGGTCCCTAACCTAAGTCTGTGGACAATTGTAATTGATTATAACATGGTATTAATGATACTAATAATGTCATCAGCTCACACATTTTATTCAGTTACATGGCTAAACGTGATTTTCACCTAGTCAAACCTAAAATATGTGCCCTCGTCAAAAAGAATTAAAAAGGGGGTGCACGGCAGAATGCAAATGCTTACTAGTCCAAAGACCGTTTCTGTATACGTCCTAATGTTGTGTCATGTCAAGAAAGGACCCATTTTTAAAAGTGTCACAGAAATTCATGGTTTATTTTAATTTGAAGTATATGTACCATGCATAACTTCAGAAAGGAATAAAGTAAACAATACATAACTTACAAAATATGACCATGAGAAGAACAACGTAGAGTCAGACAGCCAGGTAAATAGAGACCAGGGGTCCTTGATCACAAGGTGGAGTGGGTGAGGGTTAGGTATTTCTGTGACTGGAAGCTGTTTCCCCTGCTCCTGGCAGGGAATCACTGCGAGGCAGCAAAGCTCAGGGCTTGTGAGCAAGGACTCTGAAACCCAGCTTCACACTTGGTGCCTGTGTGACTCCTGGCACAATACCCTGTGCCTCAGTTTCCTCCTCTATAAATATGGAAAACAACAGTATTAACTTAAGAGGGTCCTTGAGAGGACTGAAGGAGTCCATATTTATAAAAAGCTTAGAAACAACATCTGGCTTATGGTATGCCTTATCCATATGTGTTAAATGAGTAAAAAACAGACAAGACCAGAGGTAACAGAGTACACCAGTTAGGATTCACAAGACGGCTCTTTGGCTCTCAACTCTTACAGCTGGAGCAAAAGAGAGAAGAAACCAATTTTCAAACCGAAAAGAAAAGAGTGTGTGTCTCTCCATACCTGTGTGCTGGCAGGAAGCAGAACAGGGGAACACATTTTGAACCCCATGGGGAAACAAGCTTTTTTTCACACTTAGCTGTAATACAGGCACTGCAGGTCTGTACACAAAGAGGCAGTGAGCAACGGCCCAGACCAGGTAGACCACCGTGTGACCTGGTTTTTCATTGTGTCCCTTAGGTAAATTCCCAAGAATAACTTTCTAGAGTTTCTCTGGGAAGAAGCCAAGACAATGTGTTACAAATAAGTAGCTCTGATAATCCTGCCCACTACGGGGAAGCAACTGCTCCAAAAATCCATCCTTTACTTCCATTTCCCTCAGCCCTGCTTCTGATGAGAGCTGAGAGACAGTTCCAAATTCGTGACAGTGGCAAAAAATACAGCCACATAAAAACGCTAAGTAAACCAGATTCACTGAAAAGCCACTCTCCCCGGAAGTATGTCTAATGGCGAGTCTACGCCACTGCGAGGATATACTTATTAAAGCCAGAGACAGTGAAACAGGGGAGGACTTAGCATAGAGGAAGCAGAAGGAGAGCCTAGGCTGAGCTGCCTTGGTTCACTGGGAAGTCAGAGAAAAGCAGGCTTTGGGACAAGTTCAGGGTATCAGCCTGGGATAAGCTGCCAGCTGCCCACTGCCTTAGAGTTTGGGCCATGTGTGCCTGGGGAGCAAGGAGCAGGGGAAGAAGGAGGGAAGGAAAATGGCACAGGCTGCTCCCCAGAGGAAGAGTGCACCCTGGGTCCTTGGTCTTGAGGCTTTTTCTCTTTCTTGCAGGTGGGAATCTTAGGGGAGGGTTTCAGCCCAATATTCATCAGCTTTCTAGGTGCATTTTTAATATGCTGATGTGTCAAAATGAGCAGATAGGGGGATTGGGGGAATTTTGTGGGGTCTGCTTTACTGTTTTACTTTTATCTTGAGTCTGTCTGGCTTTTTAATGGGGTTTTTGTTATTTGTTACTGACCATCTGTCCTTGGCTTTAGCTGGCACAATTGACATAAGATGACTCTGTTCTTTATCTCCCAGACCAGGAAAATTTAAGACATGTATTCTTTGGTTAGGGAGGAGAGGTATGAACCATTCGCTCTCGAGTGTCCTTGGTTAGGGGAGATAAGTTCCGGCAATTCACCAGCTGGCTGCAAGTTGCTCAAACTGTTTGGCCTTGTTTGATTTTCTTGTCTCAGTTTCCCCATTTTTTCTAGCTTCTCACTATCCTGTCTCGAAGGGACCTTGGTTCTTTCACCTATTCCCATACTGTACTTGGAAGACACGATGCAGGTGAATTTCCATGGCTAGTCCACACGTGCGACTAAGTTGATATCCCAGTGATCTGTCAGCCATCTTTGTTCCATCAACCAAAGTATCCTGTCCTTAGGGCTAATTTTTTTTAAAGAATTTTTCTTCAGATGAGACTGTCAATCTTAAAGTTATTAATCCACTGTAGCAATATATTTCATTGTAATACTTGGGGGGTATTGCTAAAGCCACCAAAGAGAGAAGAAATAGATAGATTCACTTGCAGTTCACAGGCACTTAGATGTAGCATTCTGCAAGGAAGAAGAGTAAGGGATGGCATTTATAATTAAACCTATGCAACCTGGAGAAACATCACTCCTTAGAATCCTCTCTTGAGTCTTCCAGACTGGATTACAGAGTCCTTTATCTGTTCCACATTATTCCATACTTTTCCCCCACCATAAGGGTTTGCTAATTGTAATTATTTAATCCACTGTAAACTCTATGAGGGAAAGTACCA